CTGGCTGGGGAATTCTGGGAGTTGAAGTCCACACATCTTAAAGTTCCTAAGGTTGAGAAACACTGGTCTGGAGACTTGAAAAGGACCTGGGGTACAGATTCAACCTCAGTATTTGAACATATACAAATACAAATACAATTTTCATATGGGAGGTTGAAATACCTTCTAGTTGTCTTCCTGATGGGTAGCGCATCAGTTTGGGCCAGAAAAAAGCCTCCTATCCACATATAAGGATGCACGGTCTTAAAAAAAATAGCCAGGGAGAGTCCAGGAGGATGGGGTAATTCTACTATAATAAGGATGGGACATTTTGGTGCTATCTGACTGAATATCATTACTACTGTATAGTTTTGTTGTTCTTTTCCTCATTCATTTTCTTTCTTCCATGTTTGTTCAATCTTTTGTATCGTGCCTTTCTACAGAGGAAAAATAAGGAGTCCTCCAAGATTAGTTTAAAAACACCTAGGACAAAATACAACCTAAGGAGATAAATTTGGCCTGAAGTATGAACAAGTATTGTCAACATAGCAGCAGCTAACCATTCTAATCAATGCCACGTCTCCTATTAGCCCAAAGACCAGCAGGAATGCCTGTTCTTCCCACCTCTTCCATGGTGCTTCAGCTGGCCAGTTGAGGTGGGGCTAACATCTTTGGGGCAATTCCTGAAAAGGCCATGCTCCCTCGTGAATGGCATTCAGAGGGTCTACCTTAGGGCTATTAGACCTGGCCTCAAAGATCCAGATGAGATAAGATACAGAAAACTTATCACAGAGAAGAAGGCAAGGCCTGGGCAGGTTTTGGTGTTTCTGGATGGCCAAAAGTTAGTTCTTAAAATCCCCCTGGTTCCTTTCTCTAAGCTGGTGTTCCCTGTTGGGCTAAGGCCAGGGCACAGAAGAGTTTGGTGGCTCATGGAAACTCATGGTGGTTTTGTTCCCAGTGTGAAGAGATTTGATGACTTAATTGCTCCGTTCAGACTGAATGATGGTTTCAAAGACGATGCTGTGGTGAACGAGATGCGACATGGCTGCCCCTGGAAAATTTCTGATGAAGAGGTTGCAAAAAACAAAGCTAAGGTTCGGGGGACCTCCTCAGGGGTGGATTTCAGACATTGCCAGCAAGAAAAGGGGGAAATAGGTGGACTGGTGCCATCACTGTCTCATCTCTGTTTCTGACTCCAGTTCTTTGATCTAACACCTTGGGTCATCCTGGCTAAACTGTCAGAGAAGTTGACTTCCTTTCACATTCCTCTGGAAGGTGTTTTCAAGCTTACTTTGTTATGGGAAGAATGGTTGCACAAAGTTTTGATCTGGAAATTCAGTAGCAATTCTATCAAAACTCTGAACCAAATCCGCTTTCCAAATGGAATTGAAAATTCACACCCAATTATTGAAGTTGGGCCCCTTTCTCAAGCCTGTTTGAGTCAGTCAGAAGAATCAAAGTGACTTGATTTGAGGCATCGAACTGCAACTTTGAATTGACTTGATTTTCGAAATGGAACCCATAGCTTGGATCAGAGTAGTCAACATATTCCTGGTTGGTGTTGGTGGAGGCATAGGTGTTCATGGGGGGGG